AAAGCACTCACGTGTGACCGCACGACACCCTCACGGGGTCATCGAAGAGCTCGAGGCAGATGGGGCACAGGAACCTGTCCATGGGGTCCACATCCCGGGAAGCCCCGGAGCCTCTCTGCCAGTGCTGATCCCCCGCCATCACCAGCAGCACTTCACTTCCGCAAACACCCGCTGACGTCACACCGCCGCCTCCCAATCCCGGCCCGGCCTGCTGCGCCACGTGGGGGGAGCGAGCGGTCACCTGACCGCGATCTCCAGAGACGCATTGTATCCCGACGTTTCCTCCAGCCAGTGTTACATTGGACCCGGTGCCAGAGAACAGCAGCACCCTGCGGTCTCTGCTCTCATGGGGGGGGGGGATTCTCATTTGATCAGCTGATCGAGGGGTGCCAATCAAGGGGGTGCAGGGTGCCGACGGGGAAGGATGCAGACGTCAGCACCCACTTGTGCGAATTCACCAGTTTAACTCCGTTTCAGATTATTGGCTTGCATCAAACAAACAACTAAGGGGGATTCCTGAAACTACTACAATTGGGGTTCAAGGAGAACTATGACCAGGGCCGGATTTCACACCAGGCCAACCAAGGCCCGGCCTCGGGGCAGCAGGGGTGTGGAATTTCTATCTCCCGATGCCCGGGACATGCAGTTTTTTTCTACATTTAGCCTGGCTTTGAACAAGCAGAGCTAAATGTACAGCGGGGAAGGCACCGCTTGTTTTGTATGCAGCCTTCAGGTCTGCCATTCTCCATGGGCTTTTTGGTGGGTAGGGGGGTGCATTAAGGAACCTGGCCTTGGGGCAGCAGAGAGAGTAAATCCGGCCCTGACTATGAGGACAGTGATTTTCACTCTTCCTCATAGTTTGACCCGGCGTGTGACAATGAAACTGTCACACGTCGGCTCTATAGATCCGTACAGTCACTCGCTCACTTCTCCATCATGTCCCTGCAGAGAGCCGTGACTGTCACTCACCAGGGATTCCCCCCCACCACCACTGTTTGATCCTCCAGCGCTTACTGGAGGAACAGACAGGGGTGGGGGCGGGCACAGCTGGCTCTGCCTCTAGAGCCGTCTCGGCTGCGGCGGTCTCAGTATACCACGAGCCGTAGCTCCCTATATACTGAGCCTAAGGTGACGGGAGGATGCTAGTTTGTGTCCTCCCGTGACCCTTAGGAGATCTTTGGGGAAAACACATACCCCATACCCCCAAGAACTGCTCAATGCGTTATTAAAACCTGGGAGGATCGCGGTGAACCGCCATCGTCAAGGAAGAAATGTGGTCAGAAAATGAACCTTGAACGATTGTGATCGGAGATCACTTAAACGTAAGGATAGAAAAAAAAAAAAAAGCAGGCAGGTCCCCTATAGGGAATGCACTCACCAGATCCCTGATGGTCGAAAGCCTTTATTCTTATCCAATGGAGGCCGAAGATGTGTGTCCTCTTCTCCCGTTTGGTGAAAGCCTCAGGCTACAGGATCCGCTTGCTTCTTGAGATGAAGGGATTACAATCTTTGTTGTTAGGTCTCCTGTGTGATGAGATGAATGGGTGCACAAGTGATGACCTCCTGGTGGTGTCGTGAGGTCTGGTTGGGGTGACAGGTGGGTGTTCGGTGGGCAGAGGTGGATCCAGTGGGTTTGGTGTGTACTGTGTAGCGATATCAGCGACGAAGAATGGAAGACGTTTTTTCTGGAGTAGCTTAAGGCCCCATTCACACTGAGCGATTTATGGAGCGATTTTTGCAGCGATATCGCTCATATTTCCACGCGATATCGCTCTATGTAGCTTCACCTATACATTTCAATGGAGCTGTTCACATCTCATCGCTCAATGTCGCTCAATATCGCTTGTAGCTCGTCGCTACAAGCGATACACTGTTTCACGTCACACCATACTTCCACCGCGCCAAGCTTGCTCCCGTGATGGACTACAATCTCAATAGAAACTAGTAGTACATCACTGGAGCCCTTTTTTTTTTATCCGATTAGTCGATTAATCGAACTTAATAATAGGCTAACTAATCGATTATGAAAATAATCGTTAGCTGCAGCCCTAAACGTTTTGGTAACATCAAATTGTAAAAAAATCAACAGTAGAACTCACGGCTGTGTATGACAGTGAAAGTAAAAGCATTTCCCACACACACAAGGTGAGGAGAACCCCAGGGATTGGAGAAAAATACAAAGCTTTTCCCACACACACAAGGTGAGGAGAACCCCAGGGATTGGAGAAAAATACAAAGCTTTTCCCACACACACAAGGTGAGGAGAACCCCAGGGATTGGAGAAAAATACAAAGCTTTTCCCACACACACAAGGTGAGGAGAACCCCAGGGATTGGAGAAAAATACAAAGCTTTTCCCACACACACAAGGTGAGGAGAACCCCAGGGATTGGAGAAAAATACAAAGCTTTTCCCACACACACAAGGTGAGGAGAACTCCAGGGATTGGAGAAAAATACAAAGCTTTTCCCACACACACAAGGTGAGGAGAACCCCAGGGATTGGAGAAAAATACAAAGCTTTTCCCACACACACAAGGTGAGGAGAACTCCAGGGATTGGAGAAAAATACAAAGCTTTTCCCACACACACAAGGTGAGGAGAACTCCAGGGATTGGAGAAAAATACAAAGCTTTTCCCACACACACAAGGTGAGGAGAACCCCAGGGATTGGAGAAAAATACAAAGCTTTTCCCACACACACAAGGTGAGGAGAACCCCAGGGATTGGAGAAAAATAAAAAGATTTTCCCACACACAGACAAGGTGAGGAGAACTCCAGGGATTGGAAAAAGACAAAAAGCTTCTCCCACACACACAAGGTGAGGAGAACCCCAGGGATTGGAGAAAAATACAAAGCTTTTCCCACACACACAAGGTGAGGAGAACCCCAGGGATTGGAGAAAAATAAAAAGTTTTTCCCACACACACAAGGTGAGGAGAACTCCAGGGATTGGAGAAAAATAAAAAGATTTTCCCACACACACACAAGGTGAGGAGAACTCCAGGGATTGGATAAAAATACAAAGCTTTTCCCACACACACAAGGTGAGGAGAACTCCAGGGATTGGAGAAAAATACAAAGCTTTTCTCACACACACAAGGTGAGGAGAACCCCAGGGATTGGAGAAAAATACAAAGCTTTTCCCACACACACAAGGTGAGGAGAACTCCAGGGATTGGAGAAAAATACAAAGATTTTCCCACACACACAAGGTGAGGAGAACCCCAGGGATTGGAGAAAAATACAAAGATTTTCCCACACACACAAGGTGAGGAGAACTCCAGGGATTGGAGAAAAATAAAAAGATTTTCCCACACACACAAGGTGAGGAGAACTCCAGGGATTGGAGAAAAATACAAAGATTTTCCCACACACACAAGGTGAGGAGAACTCCAGGGATTGGAGAAAGAAAAAAACTCAACAGTGAGGATGATCGGAAAAAAGGGCTTCAATTTACTAGAGAGCAGAAAGATTGGGCTCTGGAGCAATGGAAAAAGGTGTCATGTGGTCTGATGGGTGCAGGTCTACCTTGTTCCAGAGGGATGGGGGCATCAGGGTAACAAGAGAGGTGGATGAAGTGATGTACCAATCATGTCTAGAGCCCACAGTACCAAGCTTGTGGGGTAGGGGCGGACTCGATGTTGGAGTTAAGCAACAGTTCAACAAACACACAAACTATCAGGGCGTTCGACAGGCTGATCGCCCACGAGCACCCCACAGGGTACTGCGCACCGCACAGGGCCTTCCGAAGCCCTGATTGGGTAAAGCAATGCACCTGACCACAGTTCAGGCGCAAGACTTTGCCCATTCACAGCACAGTGCACTGTGAGAGCCATGATCGGGGCAAAGTCATCATGACTTTGCCCGATCATGGCTCACACAGTTAAAGGAGAACTATGAGGGGGAGTGATTTCCACTCACCTCATAGTTCTAGCCGACCTGTGACGATGAGACTGTCACAGGTCGGCTCAGTAGATCGGGAGGTGAGAGGACACATACCGGCGTTCGCTCACCTCTCGATCCTGTCACGGCTCTCTGCCATGACAGGGGAGGGGCTGGATTCCCCCCCCCCCGCTCCTACCCGCCAGCGCTGACTGGTGGAAGGGACGGGGGAGGGGGCGGGTACAGCTGGCTCTGCCTCTAGATAGGCAGAGCCAGCTGTCACTCACGCAGCTGGGCGGATCCCGACGTCCATGTCGGGATCCGCTCCGGCTGCGGCGTCTCAGTATATAGGGAGCTGTAGCTCGCGGTATACTGAGCCTAGGGTGATGGGAGGACGCTAGTTTGTGTTCTCCCGTTACCCTTAGGAGAACTATGGGGAAAAGCCCTGACCCCATAGTTCTCCTTTAAGTCTTGTCAGTCTTGCCGGCAATATATAAACAATTGGGCGGAGTTAGCAGTGATGTCACCGCAAGCTCCGCCCAATTGTTTATATTTGCCGTCATCTGTCAGAATGCCATTCAGCGACTCGAGTTTGTCGTGAGTGGACAGGTTGGTAGGCGTCAGAGTTTTATTTTTATTTTGGCGTCGTCGTGGACAACGCTGGACGCCGTTGTTTAAATAAAAGACTTGTCAAAATCATGTCTTTTTTTTCAATTAAAGGATTTTTTTCAAAAGTCTGGTGTATATTTACAAGTACCCCTTACTCATTCACAACGGGGGGCGGCACATCTGGGTTCCCCTTTATTAAATGGGTACCCCAATGTGAATAAGCCCCCCAGCCCACACAACCAACATCCCAGGGCTTGTGGGGAAGAGGCCCTTGTCCCCATTGGCACAGAGACAAGATGCTTTTCCAGGGGTGACCCTTGAAAAACACCCTCCTCAGCCCCAATTACTGCACCTTCACACCTCAGATCACCCCAATTCCTGCACCTTCACACCTCAGATCACCCCAATTCCTGCACCTTCACACCTCAGATCACCCCAATTCCTGCACCTTCACCCCTCAGATCACCCCAATTCCTTCACCTTCACCCCTCAGATCACTCCAATTCCTGCACCTTCCCCCCTCAGATCACCCCAAATTCCTTCACCTTCACCCCTCAGATCACCCCAATTCCTGCACCTTCACCCCTCAGATCACCCCAATTCCTGCACCTTCCCCCCCCACATCCCCCCCAATTCCTGCTCCTTCACCCCTCAGATCACCCCAATTCCTGCACCTTCCCCCCTCAGAT